ATAAAATTCTTTGTTTTGGAAAATTTAATAACTCGGTAAATATTGATGTTTAAACAACGTAAATGTTTAATACAATTTTAAAAAGTTATCCTCTATATGTGTGTTCATTTATTGTCGCGATTGTAAAGACACCCTGTATGTACATATGTGTATGGGAGATGCAAAAAAAACATTGCCAGGATAACAATAACAGTAGCAATAGTGTAAAACTGACAGTGAAAACATTCCGTTTAGCAGGAAAAAATTAAAACAAATGCCGAACGGAAGCTCTAACAAAATGTGAACTTGAAATCCCCATTAAATCACTCATACAGTGGTTCGCTATCAAAGTTGTGGTCAGATTGTTTCGGTCGTCAAAATGGACGTACCTACTATACGTTGGATTTAAAAAAAATCTGACATGCGGATGAATAATTACTATTTAATTAATATACTTCTTTTTTTCTGTACAAAGCAGTCGTCAAATGGATGAAATAATAGTCAAATGGAAATAATTCATAGACTCCTTGGCGCAGATTCCAAAGTATTGGCTCCGACGTCTATTTCTATCTATTTTTGTGACGCACAAAATAGTTTTTTCGCATCCGGGTGTTTGTCCACATGAAATTTATGTTTATAAAACGTCCTTACAACACAGGATAATGTTAAACTAAAGTGAGGGCAATATTTAAAAAAAGGAAAGAATAGTATAAAACAGCACATAACGCGGAGTGAAGAAAAAACCCGAGAGTTGGGAGGGTTAGGCAATACGGGCTAGCTCTTTATTATCGCCGCTGACCCGAAGCGCTCCAAATTTGTCTCTGATAACGGAAATCGTACGACTAGTACAAGTGAGTATCAAAACTTTCCGAACCGCGACATTTTATGTTTCGACCGATCTGACAGTTTTTCTTCGCATTATACGCGGCTCTATCGTTTTGTTATCGATACGTCCGTTTCAAATGGATACGTTCGCCTCCTCGTTCTTAATACGTGTAGGAAAGGAGCGCAACAGTTCGCCGCTTATACATCTATCGACTTCCAATGGGAAAGTATTCGGGACATTGGTGAATTGGATTTTATCGATCTAGATGTGATACGGTGCTGTTAAAATTAGTCGGTTAATCAACAGTTTCTGTGGGTGGAATATTAATTGAAGGCTAGAGAGTTCTTAATTAGAAACACATCGTTATAATTAATTCGGGGGGTTTTAACAATTGTGTCTGATCATTTTCTGAATGTCAAACAGAATGGAATTTTCGACTTTGGTTGCTTCAACTTCAGTTAGACCTTAGTATTTATTGTACACCTCAGAGGATGCCATCGGTACAGATTGTGTCGAGAGGCAAATTTTTGACGGTCGTGATTTCAACATGATTACCGCTGCATTTATCATGTGGCCACGACACTAAAATAACTAAACGACTCAGTGGCGCAGTTGCAAAGCTATTGGCTTCAGCGCTCGCGCTCGATGGTTCGATTTCAACACGAGACAACTTATTGTGTGACTCACAGATAATTGTTTGGGATCTGCGAGTTTGTCCACGTGACATTAATGTATGTAAAACGTGCTTAAAATACGGATTATGTTATATTACAAGTAAGGTGGCAATGTTTTCGAAGGGGAGACTACCGTAGATAAGTACGTTCAAAGAGACGCGTGTCAGTCGCTACAAAAAGACAAGTCAAGATAGGGCATGGACGCGGCAGCTGTAAAAAGCCATTAGTCAACGACACTCGTCTGAAAATTAAATTTTATCGAACAAAAAAAAACAAAATTGAAAATTTGAAAAATGAAAGCCCTTATTATCGTTTACTTTTTATTCCGTTTAATCCACAATTTGAAAAAGGCGAGCCCTTACGATCGTCTAGTTTTTATTCTGTTTAAGCTTTTTATCATAACTGGCCACTACTCGAGCCCTATCTCACCATTAAAAGTCATTTAACACGTAACTGTAGGCTTAAACATAAACTTCAACTGTTCAGAAAGAAAATCAGATGCATTTAAGGTTAATTTGGACCATAAACGAGCGTTGCTTCTCGCAATAACAATCTTTATTCTTTCTTTATAACAAAAACATGTCAATATTTGTCTGTCCTGTCATTGTTGTGCTTGTAGCCTCCTCTGAGGCAACAGGAAAAATTAAATGAGAATTTTATCTCGACCGTAACCACTGCAATGGCGACGACATGTACAAACCAATGCTGAATGTTTTATAAACACATTTATATAAGAAAAATTATAAAGCAGGATTTCGACTAACTGCCTTTGGCTCTACGTCATTGATAAGACACCGACGGGTTCACAAAACGGCTCAGCTCACGTAGAGTCGGTGTATGCACCGACTAGTTTCGGACCTAGTCGAGTTCCTTCATCAGGGTGAGTGGAATGATTTAATGAAATATACTTTATTTTAGTACACAATTAAACTGATATTGTATAATCAACAACAGACAATAGACATTTGTACAATAGGCGGACTTATAGCTAAAAAGCGATTTATTCTTCTAGTATAACACAAAGTCGTCCCGCTGTCTGTCTGTCCCTATGTATGCTTAGACCTGTAAAACTACGCAATGGATCTTGATGCGGTAGATAGTGATTCAAGAGGAAGGTTTATATGTACAATACATTGCACCCGTGAGAAGCCGGCGCGGGTCGCTAGTGCATTATATTACATCGGTCGTTCAAAGTTGCCAAATATCAAATGCATCGAGTATCCATCCATCTTCGCGGGGGCACGCCTGCATGGGGTCGACGCCCGAATCTCCTCCCCCCCCCCCCCCCCCTCATTGCCTACGCCCTCACCCTATCTCATGCCTACACTCCACAGAATCCCAAAGAGCGTCTGACGCGTGAGATAAGGAGGATACCGATGTTTAACGTCCAATTTGTAACTGGAATTTTATCTCTTGGTATCACAAAAAGATTTAACACTCAAACAGGCAGCATGAATAGGCAGTGAAATACTTATGAATTTGTTTGTTTAGATATCAAAATAATTCAGTGCATAACAATAGTTTTGCATGTCAGAACATAAAACAATATGTAATATACAACAGGCAACCATTTGAGTTTTAAAAATCATACACTTGTGATAGACCAGACAATATCAATCAAAACCTTCACAGAACAAATGAGATAATATTTATTTTACAAAATTAAAAAAAGGTTAAACAAGATAATTAAAACAATGTTTTTTATAGCAAGTAGAACTAATAACTCAATGTTAGTACTTTGATTTTTTTCTACTTTCTTTTATTTTCTTAAATCATTTCTTTGTTCATAACTTATTTTTATTTAAGAAACTTATTTCTTTTTTCAATAAAAGTATGTGCTGCTTATTTTTTGTCACAATAAAATTTATGTCTATGTCTTTAAAAAGCCTTGTCAGAATAACTAAGTAAATATTGGTCAGATGTTATGTCCACTTTCAAATTGCAACAAAAATTATCGAGGAATTATAAATTTAATAAATTATGAATTATAAATTATTAATTAGCAAAGTACCAATTTAGTATATTTATCATTATTAAGTTAATATACCTAAATTTGAATTGTAATTCTTTGTTACAGTCTTTTTTTGACTTTGAAAAGAAGTATTGAATTCAAGTTATACTTATTTGATTTTATACAAAAATTAGTTTAGTGTATTTTCTATTTGATTTATAATAAGTTATAGTGGAAGGAAATGATAAGGCATAACAACATGAATCATAATGAGTGCCAAAATAGATAAGACAAGAAACAAGCTTTGTAATTGTTTGAAAGTATTTTAAATGAAAAGCAATCGAGCATATCAATATAAGAGTGTGTTCAAGGAAATTGTTTGAGTTGTTTGATACTAACAATGTATTAATCATTCAAAAATAGCCCCTACAAAATGTTTATCCACAGCAATAATGTATTTAATTACATACAAAATACTTCAAAAAGATATTTTTATTTTTTATGTGTTTTTCTAGTGTCTGGGTGTTTATATATGTATTTATTTACACAAGAAAAGTATGTTTAAGTATGTTTATCAGTTATCTGGTACCCATAGTACAAGCGTTGCTTAGTTTGGGACTAGAGAATGTTGTGTAAAAAATGTGTCCTAAAATATTTATATTTATATTTATTATATTTATATTTTTTTATGTGAGAAAGTGGCAAACGAGCTGGCGGTTCACCTGATGTTAAGTGATAACCACCTGCCCATGGACATTTGCAACACCAGTAGGATTGCAATGCGTTGCCAACTCTTAATAAATATCCCTGGCTATCCCACACACCAGACGAAATGCAGAAGTGAAGTCTTTCAAAGTAGAAGTCTTTCTACTTTACGCCGGTTTTCTGTGAGGTTGTGGTACTGAATGAAAAAGTTATGTGAAGATTCTACTTTAAATAAAATTATTAACTCTTAACTTGTCAATTACTTGTTGTCACAGTTTTATTCAAATTCAAATACTTTAAAATGATACAAAAATAGGTTACATTGATGATGAATTTGAAGGGAATAGAGCAGCAAGATTACCTGTATATTTGTAGACATTTTATATAGATATTTGAATGCGGAAACTTCCATAATGAGTCTACTTTTAATAGAAATATCTCCCATGAAAATCAGCAGTCGGAGACAGTACTCAATAGTGAATGTTGTTCCCTAACCAAGCTAAGTAACAAGTATAATCTCTATTGTTATGAGCAACCCATTGTATGGAGATGAGACAATGAGGCAATTTACCAAGCCAATGAACATTTTGGGCCACTTTAGATTTTGAAAATTTTATCTAGTACACATAGTAAATAATGAGCCACAATAAGAAATACTTTATTAAATAAATTTAAATAATTTCACAGCCGTAGTATTGAGATACATATTATAACAAAAAGCACCAGAAAAATAATTTAATTTTGATTAACTAAGGTGGCCTTAAGCAATCCTAGATGACGCGCTTTAGACAACCCTGGATGACGTTTAAAGAAGGTATTTTGAACAAAATAACCATTAAAACGGTATCGATATCTTATCACTTACCTTCTGGATAAGCCTGTTTATTGACGATGAAATCGATGATCATGTTCGTCGAGTTGTAGACGATGCCCATCGCCCGCATGTCGAACTCCACCCGGGCCACGTAGGTGGTGTTGATGACGGGCGTCGAGTAGTTCACCTCGGCGATCATCATCGCGTCATACAGTTCCGAGTGCATTTTCATTCCAATGTCACTAAGCCAGGGGTCCGGCGCGGCAGCAGCGGCGGACGCCGTTGCCACCACGAGCAGCACCAATCGAGCAGACATCGCGAATTCACCCGAGCACCCAAATCATTACCGAACGTTTGCCACTGATCGGTGGTTAGAACTTTAAATGTGGGTACACTATCTGTTTGCAAAACAAACACTGAAAGATACCCGCTCACTGAACATAAATAAACACTACCAAGATTAATTAAATGAACTCGTTTATTTTATGTGGTTGTTCATTTTAAGAATTATAAACGTTTGTTCACAGTTATTTTTTGGAAATTTGATATATGTTTTATGTCAGGTTATTCATGGCTTTTGTATATTTAATTATTCTTTGTTACTCCGTCATAAAAGACGTTCCGACCGGAGCAATGAACAAACTGTGAATGATGCTGAATGGTGAATGCTGAATGCGACTGATACTATAATGGATCCTAGTTCACCGTACAACGTTATTCGCCGATGTTCATTGGATTGATTAAGTCAATGACCGGTCGACGCCATCTATCTTTCATTCGGTCTATATAAATGTTGCATACATAAAATATTTTTTTAAAATACATACATACAAATTGTAATAGTTCTTATTTATAATAAGCTACGTTATTTTTGCTTTTTCAAATTATTTTTCTATAAACATTTAACACTTCTTATTTTAATGGCAATTATGATTTATTTTATTTTTAATGCGCGCTTTTCATGTAAAGAACAATGCCCACTTCCCATACATTTAAAAACCTGGTAATGAAAGTGTATGTATAGTTACAAGGTATAGCAGAAAGACTACCTTTAAGTTAGTAAATTAATATCATATAGTCGTTTTTACGATTGCTGGTCTACGAAGTCCAAAAATTATTAAAAAATGTTACTTTTTAGGTTAGGATTTGCAGTTGCCTAATATAACGAAATAAATGTGCTAGAACTAACTATTTACGCTCAAGTTTACTCTAAAATAATAATATTAGCCTATCTAAGGTCTAAAACGTCTTTTTTTACTTGTGAATTCCTAGAAACCGACTGCCCTTACGTCACTGCTTAGACTCGATTATTGTCACTATAAATTGAGTCAAGAGCATTATCCGCTATTTCAACAACTCATAAGTACCTACTTAAAAAACGTAAGTTAAAAGTGATCATTTATCTGCCCTACACATTTTATTGGCCTGCACTACAATACATAATAATCTATAATATAATACCTGATGAATAAAACGAGGGAAAAAATAAAACACTATGTCACAGTGGAATGCTTTATTAATTATCATCATCTTCACTTAAATGTCTTATAACTATGTTATCCAGAAATTCTGCTATAACAGAGATATTTTCTTGATAGTTCATCCGAAGTACCACACTAGTCATAACATGAGTGAAACATCCTATGGTTTGCCAACCAACTACACAATTACAACAGTATTCGACTATACTAGCTCTGCCAGACACATTATTTTCTATTAAAATGTAGACATAATATTGTTTTATTTAAATGTGCTAGGACTTAATTTTTCCTCTTATTAGTGTTATGTCATCACTTCCACTCAGATTATTCCTAGAAAACTCCTGTCTCCCTACATATTTCTATTCTATATGATCCATGAAAGCGAATATGTTCGCCATAATAGGATTTGGCTTGCCTTATTTGGTACCTAACGCAAATAGTATAAGTTCACTAATAAATTAATCTCACAATCTCGCAACGAAGAATTATGTATAAAGATTTGACTGTACGAATGTGAAGTTCTTAGTTCTAATGTAAGACAAAAGGTTTATTATATTAATATGAAAACTAATGGGATAAAGAGTATTTCGTTGTAGAAGATTTTATGTTAATTCTTTAGTAATATTTCTTTAGTGATAAGATATTAAATTAAATTGTTATTTAAATAACTTGATATTATGTATAAATGCCAAAAAGTTGTCATTAGTTATTAAGATTAATTTGGTTACCAAGCATTTTGTCACATTGTAAAAAATTATCCTCATAATTTTTCAAAACGCGCTAAAATCCAACTAAGTCTAAAGTCCAACTTTTTATATCAAAACAATTGTTTTAAATCATAAGCTCAGCTAATACGGGAATGGACGCTCTACATAACTATTAATATGCGATAATATTGCGAAAGTACGTATCGAAATGAACAGCACCATACCGTAATGAAAAGCTTTTAATCTAGTCTTTCTTTAAGATTTTTTTACCAGTCAACACCGCTAATCATAGACCATAGTTGATATTGACAATGGTCAATGACACTCACACTTGACAGCTTGACACTGACAGTTTTGAAACTATAAGTTTATACCGTAGCAAAAAAAAGGTAAAATTTCAATTAATTAAATTGAAATTTGGTAAAAATTCCGAACAGTACGTCTCGTTTTTCTAGCTAGAAAAAATTTTAATCGATAGAGAAATGTTAATAATTAAATATTACATACGTGAAAACCAAGGCAAACACTTACTTTTAATAAAAAAAGAATATTTAAAACTTGTTATTTTCACTAAATAAATCCGCCATTTTGTGTTTGACAATATGTATAAATTTACGAATTCACACACTTTTCCGAATTATAACCTTCGCATTATTAAAAAAGAGTCTTTAAAAATACTAAAAGTACTGTTACACTAAAGTTTTCCGGGTGGTCATAAAAAAAGAACCTAACAACGAAGGCTAAGGCGGGAGCGAAGCTCCTAACCTAACCTATCCGAGTCGGATCGCTCTGTGTCGGATCTGTGACTCATTTTGAACCTAATATTCGAGACATTAAGTGTACACTAAGTCACAAATTTTAAATTTTAGAAATTGTTAATAATACATGTTCATGAAGTAAAAACTTGTGTTTTTGTGATATATCTGTGTCTTCTTACAACGTAAAAAGTGAAAACGTAAGTTTTTAACTTAAAATAATAGTCTATAATGAATAATGGACGCACAGTAATGACGGATTTCAGTTGTATGAAATTTAATAACCTTGTTAATTTTTTCCTCATAATCTAGTGGTTTTCATTGATTATAACTTATATAATATTTAGTTATTAACATTTCTCTATAGATTAAAATTTTTTTCTAGCTTGAAAAACGAGATGTACTATTCGGAATATTAGCCCTACTTAAAAGAAACAATGTTAAAAATCCTAATTACATTTTTTAATGAATAAAAATGAATGCTTGTAAGGCGTAACTCTAGAATGGCTGGACCAATTTGGCTAATTTATTTTTTGTATGTTCCTTAAGGTCCACAGAAGGTTTTAATACTATAAAAACGTCGGCTAGTTACATTATAAAGTAAAGAATAGTGTCATATACACTTTTCTTATTACCTTGGAAAATCGAACTGTTGAGCAGAATATGAAAAAATTTTTTTTGAATTGCAATATCAACTATAAAATTTTTAACAATTTCTTTTATTGATAAAATGGATGTTTGAAAATTTTTATTTTGAATATATTAAAACACAATCAATTCATAAATACAACAAGTATAGTTATTGATAATTTTATTATGGTCCTACAAAATTCAATGAAACAACAAGAGATAATTTATTAATATACTTATTGTTCTTAAAAATAAAAGTAATTTGAGGTACAAGTAAGCTTGAATGGTGTTATTATAGTTAATGACCAGTTTTATTATTAATTGTGATGAATGAGTGTTTCACAAAGCGCTTTGGTTTGTCTTCAACAGTAACAGATTTTTTGCAGAAAATGTATGGCATTCATATGAATATTTCTAATAACTTTTGCTCATCTCCATCGACACTGAATGACTCGGTGGTATTTACATTTTACACATGTTACTAGATTATTTTTGGCATCTGGGAATTGTAGGTTCGATATCCACACTGGAAAATTAGTTGTTTGACCCGCAGATAATTGTTCTGGTCATTTGTCACCTGTCTGATGTGTTGATGTTGTGCCCGGATAAAAATCATTAACAAAATGATTCACATATTGTGTTGAACCCGCCTATAGATGGAGGCTTTTCTAAGTGTATCCATTTTTATTTATTAAATTCTAGACATAAATAATGTTATACAAAAAATGATAAATATTTTAAATCACTCGTAAGTAATTAATTACAATCATTTGAACTTATCTCATAAAGTGCTTGATTTATACGCAACTCATTTATTTTACGTGCGATCATTCATAACTACAGATACACAAGTTCGTTTGTGTGCGTGAACAGTTTTAGGTATTTATGAATGACTACCACGATGTCAACAAGTTCTTCTTTTTTAGGGAATAGAATGGTATTTTTTTTGAAAATGAAAAAGTTTGTTTATATTTCAATAAACGATTATACGATATCGAGTCTGAACCTAAATTTGGACACCTTTAAGCCTCCCTGTATATGGGATTAGGCCAAGTAAATGGTTATCTATTATTCATCTGATTGAAATTTGATTTGAATTTGATTGGATGCGGAGTCACAAAGGCAATGGGGCTTTTGTGACTACACATTGAATCATTATGCTAGTCTCCGATTTTATTGAAATTGAACACTATCATGAAGCTCATTCCTCAGTATAAGCACATGCGAATAACAACCCATCCATAGAATCATTACAAGTTGGCCGATTCATATACAAAATAAAAAATCACAAATAGCAAGCAGTCGCTTAGAGCGCACATTATAGTTAAATAATATTTACAAAACTATGCTACCAGACTAGACTGAGAAGTACTAAAGTCGTATGCGACGAAAGGGCACTGTCTCGTATGGCGCGTATCACGATAACGGTGGTAGGGCCAGCCTCGGCTGTTGCACGAATGGGCGGGCTCGTCCGGGTAGGTACCACGACCCCACAGAAGACCAGCGTAAAGTGGAAGTATAATACTTTCGCGTTTCGTCTGGTGAGTGAGGTGGCTGGAGCCCAATTTTAAAAAGGTTGTCAACGCATCTGGTACCCTCGGGTGTAGCAGATGTCCATGGGCGGCGGTATTCACTTACCATCAGGTGAACCGTCTGCTCGTTTGGAAACTTTTCACATAAAAAAATCACGAGCAAGTGCCACTAAGTTATTTGTGACAATTCATTTAAAATTTGATAAAATTCATATCTCTCGGAATGTATTCTTAATGACCCCTTTCAAAATTCTATCTAAAGATAAATTTGGTTACTAGCGATAGGTTTATCTATAGTCTTAAATTCATCTATAGTCTTAAATATCCACAAGGGAAGTAGCGGGTTATTCCCACTACAAGTGTCTATGACAACTTACTGGGAAAACTCGGCAAGAAGATGTTACAAAGATTATGGAAATAAATGAAATTTTTATTAAAAAAAAAAAAAAAAAAAGGTACTTGACATTAGCACCATAATACTTCTAAATTCCATCTCCGGTAACCAAATCTACCTTTAGAAAAATATTGAAACCGACCGTTAGTTATTTTAGTGTTACATTGAGATTGTCTATCACTATCGGTTTAAGCATCTGAATTCCTTTTAATTCTTTTAAGTTCAAAACCGGTTGTCTGCGGGAGTTCAATATGAGACCCCGGCAAGGTTCAACTGTTGGTCTGCGGCCATCTGCAGCGGCTCAGACGTTAGCATCGCCGGGGAGGCGGGGCTCCTTGTCCAGGAGAGCGGCATCCTCGCCCCCCGGGGGGTCTGAGGGGGCGGGAGGGGCGGCCACGGCGTCCAGCGCCGTCTGCACGGTGCGCGTCCGCAGCGCGCGCGCGTCCACCCCCTCTATCCTCTCCAGCTTGCGGACCACGTCCGTGGACGCGTTGTAGAATATCAGCAGCTGGTCGCCCTCCTTGAACTCCTCGATCAGCCGCTCCAGGGTCTAAGAGAGGGCCAGTGATCGTTAAACTTGAAACAAATCAAAATCGTTTATTCGAAGTGAGATTTTTTCAAACCGTTTTTCGACGTCTTACAATTTGTCTTATAATATATGTCTCTCATGCCGTGCTGGAGTGTCGGAACACCAAGCCTCTTTGTCATTTAAATAATCATCTAACTTATGATAAGCTTTTTAAACAGTGTCTGCTTTACAATAAATTTCAACTTGAATATTGATTGCGTTCTAGTTCAAATGCACACCGCATATGAACTACATTCAAGATCAAAGGAATTATGAGCGGTAGTAACTATTAACAAATCCAATAAAGCACCGAGGCACTTTAGGATCTTAAATGTTTAAATGCACAAACTAGAGCTTTGTGCACAATCTATCAGTAGTGTTTTTAAGAAATATCATTTTTAATGCTATTGCCCCAGCACTTAGATGAAATTTGAAAAGTTGTAGGAAAAATGGACCAAAATATTTTTTTAATGTTGTGTGGATATAAAAAGTAATTTTAATCGTGGTAGGACGACGCAAAAACTGGATAATATGACTGTGGTAAGACCACGCTACAACTGTAGTATATCCACATGAAGGGCCGTCGTAAAGTGAAAGCGTTATACCTATGCGTTGCCGGTGAGAGGTAGCGGGGGTTTACTTCACAACGCGCCTACAACCCCACGGATATTGCAAACGTCAATGGCCGTCATCGCATCAGTTGAACCGCCAGCTCCCTTGCCAACTCACGTAAAACCAACCAAGCAGATTTCGCGACCTTGCAACTGCAGCTTGCCACCTTCTCACATAAAAAAACCGGCCAAGTGCGAGTCGGATTCACGCATGAAGGGTTCCGTACCGTTATCAATAAAAACGGCAAAAAAACTTCTAGATTTTGTTATTCTGTTTTTTAATAATTGTTGTTATAGCGGCAACAGAAATACATCGTCTGTCACAGTTCAGGACAGGTGGCAGACGGACAGACAGACAGCAAAGTCTTAGCGATAGGGTCCCGTTTTACCCGTTGCCTACGAAACCCCAAAGCCAACGGAGCAGAGTTCGCTTGCAAGTTACCTTGGCCGCGGATTTCAAATGTTTAACTATCACGGACAGAGCGGAGTCTTGGTAGGGTCCCTTGCAGAGTCCCTTAGTAGAGCTCGCTAGCAAACCGCCAGATACCTTGGCCGCGGCGAAGTCGAGCATGGCCAGCACGCCGCAGTCGAGCAGCACCAGGCGCCGGCCGCGCGCGGCGGCCCGCAGCCGAGTGGCGAAGCGCTCGCAGTTCAGGTACAGCAGGGCGCGCGTGGGCCGCGCTCGGACCGCCTCGCCGCGAGTGCTCTGAAGTAGCACAATCGAGCAATCGAGTAGCCGTTACCACTGTGCCTGTTACTAAACACTAAATGTGACAAATACCAGTTATAAAATAACAACCTGTTATTTCATAGTATGTCGAGGTGCTCTGAAGTCGGAGCGAGTTATACAATCGAGTACCCGTTACCACTGTGCCTGTTACTAAACACTAAATGTGACAAATACCAGTTACAAAATAACAACCTGTTATTTCATAGTATGTCGAGGTGCTCTGAAGTCGGAGCGAGTTATACAATCGAGTACCCGTTACCACTGTGCCTGTGCTTAACAGTAACTGATACCAGTTACAAAATAACCCGTTATTTCATACTATGCTGCGACAATTTCTGTATCTGTTACCACAGTATGTTACTCTATGGTGACGTCCGTATTTCTCTTTCTAACAAATCTATTAACGGTGGTAGGGCCACGCAGCAGCCTCGGCTGTTGCACGAATCGTCAGGCCCGTCCGGTTAGTACCACGACCTCACAGGAGACCGGCGTAAGAATGGAAGAATGACAAATACTTTCGCGTTTGGTCTGGTGAGTGAGGTAGCCGGTGCCCAATTTTCAAAAGGTTGTCAACGCATCTGTAACCCTCGAGTGTAGCAGATGTCCATGGGCGGCGGTATCGTTTACCAACTTTTCGCATAAAAAAACAAATCTATGAGACCAATGCAAGAAAATGAAAGAGCTTGTAGATGTTACTGGACACTGTCACTGACATTCAGTAACATCATCATCTGTGACTAGGTGTAACAGTTTTATCTCTTTCTAACTAAGATAACAGTCGTAAGCATGAATGCTAAAGCATGAAGTGTTAAGGAGCATTTTGTGTGAAACAAGACTGCTATTTAAGTTTCTTCGTAACAGGTACAGTCTGTTATCTCGAGATACCTGTTATGCACCCTGATTTGATTCTCTACACCCCTCCCTATCATAAGTGAGATTTTTCAAAATGCAGGTATCAGTAATAAACACATAATTTGCAATAAAATAATATTGCGACTATATATTGAGAGGTAACCTCCTATCTATCTTGTCTTTCAAGTTGGATCAAACTGTTAGCGGTGTGCAAATTTGATTAAAATCGGTTAAGTAATTTAGGAGTCCATCGCGTACAAACAACGTGACACGTAAGTTATATATATTAAGATGTATGTGAACAGGTCATAGGTTTAGGAGGGCGAACGAGTGACCATAAAACGGCGAGTGGTCAAAAATCTAAAAGTGGATAGAGAATCATAATTCGGACTTATATCTATAGTCTATACGAAACCTTTTAGCAATATGGGGAGACGCAACCAAGACACGGGATATTTCGAGGACTATGTTGTTGCGGTGCTGGTCGTAGGACTATTTCAAATTATGACACTACTAGCTGCTAACCCCGGCTTCACCCGCAAATTAATAATGAAAAGTTATTTTACACAAGAATATCTCGCAGATGGCTCAATATTTTCCTACTTAGTTGACACTTATCTTTACCTATATTTTGGACAATACACTATCTTTATAAACTATAGCCTATGTCTTATTCTGAGGTATAAGCTATATTATTGCAAAGCTTCGTTAAAATCCATTCAGTAGTATTTGCGTGAAATAGTAACAAACAACCATCCGTACATACAAACTTTCGCCTTTATAATATTAGTAATGAAGTAAGGTTTAGTATAATAGTATTAGTATCTTAGTATTAGTATATTAGTATTAGTATATTAGTATTAGTATTAGTATATTAGTATGAGTAGGATTAGTATAGTATTAGTAAGGCACCTTGACGGCGTGCAGGTGCAGCGGCGCCCGGAGCAGCGCCAGGTGCGTGGCGGCCAGGCCGGCCAGCGCGCCGCAGAGCACGGCCAGCTCCACGCTGCGCCACACGCCCACGCAGAACGTGAGCGCCGCCACGGCCAGCTCGCCGCGGTCGTGCCGCCACAGCCGCACCACGCTCACGTCCACCTGCAGACGCCCGCGATTGGTGTCAATACCCCACAGCTGGACAATGGCCAGAGAGTATTAGCTGTTGTGCCGCGCCCAGACAGCCGCAGCTGCTATCAATATCCCACTGCTGGGAACGGCACCTCTGTACAGTCGGTATCGGGGCATACTCACGTGGTGGAGTGGGATTGGCGGACTTCACATATCTTTTTATCTTGTGATCTGGAAAATATGCAGGTTTCCTCACGGTGTTATCCCTCACCGCTGAGCACGTGATACGTCCGCGCTTAAAGTACAATTTCAGTGGTCACGCACCGGGGATCGAACTCGTGTTGCTCTAGTATATTGAATTAAAAGCGAGCGCCCGGACACTGGGTTATCACGGCTCATTTCTCATTATCTTGCTGTGATTTGGGTGGACTGAACATTCATTAACTCAAGAGACGAGGCGTATCTCAGCCATAGCCTTTACAAATTTTATGCTAAAAATATATTTTATTTATCGGCTTCTGATTTATCGGTATTGTCGTACACGAGTGGCATAAATACACTATTAACTAAACAAACTACTACTAGTTCACATTATTACTGTAAGCATCTTTTCTCAAGCCAAGAATTGATGAGATATCATGGCTTGAGAATAAATGTAAGCGTGTTGATATAATGCTCAAGTTTCATATATCAGGTAAAATCATATTATTTATTAGGGCAAAATTAAATACCTACAACTTTCATAGTACAGTGCAGGTAGATCTTAAATAATTTTATTGAGTTCACTTGCGTTTGCGTAGCTATAAATCAAAAGATAAATAACTCTTACCATAAATATAACCGCGCAAATAAGGACGGAGGAAAGACAGGCTTTCGGTATAAAGAAGAAGTACTGCGTCAGAAAATTCAGCGCGAGCAACGTGATGATTCCTGGAAGCGGATAAAATGAATATTTATTTATTTCATCAAGACAATCGTCGCAATAATGAAATGTTTTGCTAATCATTAACTATGTTTTATGTTAAAATGTATAACGGGTTTTGAGACTTTTAATTTAGACGTGCGTAGGACCATTGCTGCACTTTTTGTGCGTGCTCTAGTGATGTCTATAATACTAATGACATCACTAGTGCACTTTATTAACCATAAATAATTTTTAGGTGGTAGGGCCACGCAGCAGCCTCGGCTGTTGCACGAACGGGCAGGCTCGTCCGGGTAAGTACCACGACCTCACAGAAGACCGGCCTAAAGTGGAAGTATGATAAATACTTTCGCGTTTCGTCTGTTGAGTGAGGTAGCCGGAGCCCAATTTCCAAAAAGGTTGTCAACGCATCTGCAAAGCCCTCGGGTGTAGCAGATGTCCATGGGCAGCGGTATTCACTTAATATCAGGTGAACCGTTTGCTCGTTTGGCAACTTTTCACATAAAAAACATTTAATAAAAAATACCGGTAAAGTGCGAGTAGGACTTGCGCACCAAAGATTCCATATCGTTATCTATAAAAACTGCTGAAAAATCATATCTGTTGTATGGGAGCCCCACTTAAATATTTTTTATAGAGATTAAGGGCGATACGGATAGATTAAGGGCAATTACTGACCGGAGTACAGCCCGGCGGCCGGGGTTCGAACCCCGCTGGAGTGGGACACGGCCGAGCGGGTGAAGGCCCCACAGGTGGGCATCGCGCGCACCAGCCCGCCCGCCATGTTGCACAGGCCCAGGGTCACCATCTCCTGGGTGGCGTCCACACGGCCGCCCTCCGCTGGAGCATCAACAACACGTCACAGTTTTTCCCACCAACGTTTCGCATTGGTAATGCGTGACGCTTTTGGCTTCGGCCCCGCAGACAATAATGTGTGTGATCCGAGGGTCCTACACACAATGCTGTGTGTGTGTGTGACCCTCGGATATTTTCCGATCAAAGTTACGTATTGATGATGACTGCGTGGCGCAGTTGCCAAGGCATTGGCTTAGGCGCCGCGGGTCGTGGGCTCGATTCGCACACGGGACTGTGTGTGAGCAACGGATAATGTTTCCCCTGTACGTGTTTGTCCACGTGAAGTCTGTATAATTATGTAAAACGACCTTATGCCACAGGATAAGTTTATCCTACAGTAAGGAGCAATCTACGACAGTTGTATGGATGGAGGTACTCACAGAAGGCTTTAGCGATTGCTATGTTGGCGAGCACCATCACCAATGGCAGCATGACGACGCCCGAGCCCAGCTCTTGCACCATCTCCACGAAGCCCACGGTGCGGTTGCCCAAGGTGGTGCTGAACGGCGGCAGACCAATTACCGGCAACCCAGGCTCCACGCGCCCTGCCATCACACACAATTTACATGAGTCTGGTCGATTCACTGAATTTTACGTGCTCAACTATAACAAGTTTACTTGTAAGTCAAAATGGACAACATATAGATAACTAAAAGAATAATAGACTATTAAATCCTCTGAAAATTGGATTATCACAAATTGACTTGACGGCCTGTCAAGTTCTCCAATACTCTCCGTATTGGAGAATTTGACAGGTCTACCTTTACAGATGACCCAAATATCTAAGTTTCTCTGACACTTTTCTACAGACCCAAATCAGATAGTTTTAATCCTCTAATCCGCTCACTGCAAGACAATTTTTCTTCTAAACATTTAACTTAAATAATTCTTAACTCATGAATAGTCACAACGCTTTCATGAAAAATAAAAGGTTCCACGTTCGAAGCGTTTGGTTTTTTGACGAAAATTTAAACTCATTAGATATAAAAAATACCCACCTATACCATTAACCTGAATCGACTAAAAATGTTATGTTTTGTGTTTATCTAATTTTTCTAGTATAGTTAGGAGGTTTAGTCTAATATTATTTTAGCTATCCACATCTTGTCCATTATAACTGACAAGGAAACTTGTCATAATTGAGCGCATAACATTGAGTGATTCAACCAAAGTTTACCAGAGAAATTTCCCGGCAACAATAATCTCGAAAACTGGGAGTTTCGCGCTCAGGGTAATGTGAAGGTCGACGCTTTACGATGTGCATACAACTGTGATCTATTAATTTACGATGCTAATTGCTGATAACGTAATACATAATCAACGTCAGCTAAAACCGCGTGTAAGCCTTGCGAAATCAACAGGACGCAACATTGATTTACCGTTACTGAGAAATTACGTAGTGATGGAAAATATTACGATAAAAAAGTAACATAAATTTACTGATACTGAGGAATAAAGTAATATTACATCGGTCATTAGAGATTTCAATTCCTTTAACCTTAAGTGTTGCGGATCCCGATGGCATATTCCAAGTTATTTACAAATATAATACCCACAAAATAAAAACTTAGTAGCATTATTAGCTATGCTAAAAGTGAACGCTTGCCCCGCATGTACAGCAAATTTCACACCACGATAGATATTAATTGGAGAATCCGCAAATACTGCCTTCGATTTTCGTAGACTCCGGCTATTTAGAATAGTCGTCCACTGATTAACAAGAAATTATAATAATTAGATGTTAAACTTTAATACCGGAACCTAAGCAAGGTCACCTTCTTCGCATTTATGAAGTTGCTCTTACCAGAGTACCGCGTTTAACTGTGGGGCCGTAGTTTAGGGCCACAGTACATCTTTGTTGCATGAATGCTCAGGTCATCTGGGTAAGTACCGCGACCTCGCAGAAGACCGCTGTGGAAGTGTTCTACTTCTACGTTGCGTCTGGTGAGTGAGGTAGCCGTAGCCCACCGTACTATAACTTATCAATTTAGGTTGTATTTGATGTAACTAGGTAATTTGTCTGTCGGCGAAGTGGTTACCGGAAAGTTTGAGGAGCGGCCGCTCTGGGTTGTACGTGCAGTAAGCAAAGGTGGAGGCAGCGAACACGACCAGGGCGTTGCGGGCGATCGACACCAACCAAAGCGTCTTCTTCAGACGGTGCCGCTTGGGCCCCACGTTCAGGTCTTTCAGTTTCTGTGCATTTTGTACGAAAAAGTGTGATAGTAGGTGGAGTGAGGCCCCAACCGATGAAACGCTTGAGGACGAAGGTGCGTTGGCAAACTCTAGTCTAAGAGGCTCAGGTCTACGACATCGCCACGATCGCAGGAAAGAGATAAATGACGCGAAAGGGAGACAGCCTATGCCCAGCAGTGGACTGATACGTAGTGGCTATGATGTTCATAAGATTACAGTTAGCTATTACGTCGTAAGTTGCATTTATAAGATAGTATACTTGTGTACGAACTGGGATTAATTACCCTTAGTGGCATCCGCAGATAACTGTTACGCAGTAAGTTGCATATGCGATGCTAGACTGCGTATTGACTGAGACTAGCTTCCCTAAGCTGCATCCGCAGACCACGCTTTAATCTGCGCACCTTCTGGAAGTACTCACGCGTAGTATCAGCAGAACTGTGCAGCAGACGGCGCTGAGGAGGCAGTCGGGGGTGCGCACGTGTCGCCAGTTCTGCACAATCAGGGTCAGGTTCTCGTGCAGGCTCTCTGCCACGAAGCTCAGGCCCAGCAGGCCCTTTATTTGCGCAACGGTAATGATCACCGCAGTCGCGGACGTGAAGCCACTAGTCACCGACGGCGAGATCAGCTCCACCAGGAAGCCTGAACAGTGAATTCATCCTAAACTTTATCTCTACTATTTTTATAGGTGTGGTTTCACTGTGGCAGCAGCAGAAGATCGGCGTAAAGTGGAAGTAAAGTACTTTCGCGTTTCGTCTAATGAGTGAGGTGGCCGGAGCCCAATTTTCAAAAGGTTGTCAACGCATCTGCAACCCTCGGGTGTAGCAGATGTCCATGGGCGGCGGTTTTCACTTAGCATCAGGTGAACCGTCTGCTCGCTTGGCAACTTTTCACATAAAAAAAATTAAAAAGTGGTAGGGCCAAGCAACGGTCTTCGCTCATCGCTAAGTTAAAGACGCTTTCACATTTCACATTTTTTGAATCTCACAGAAGTTTGAAGGCCACGCAACGGTGTTGCGCGAATGGGTTGGTCCTTCGTACCACGACCTCAAAAGACCGGCGTGAAATGAAAGCGTTGTACTTCTGCGATGGTGAGCGAGGTAGCTGGGGCCCACTTTATACAGCGTGTCGTTACCACCGCGACAATAAATGAACACACATACAGAGGATAACTTTTTAAAATTGTATTAAACATTTACTTTCTTCAAACATCAATATTTACCGAGTTATTAAATTTTCCAAAACAAACAATTTTAGAACACCCTTACGTATAAAACTGTAACGTAAAGTTCATTTGTGAAGGTCACAAAGCATATGAATGGGTTGAATGAATTTAAAAGAGACAAAACATACTGTTAGAAGGAGAGGCTTGTAATCCGACGCTGTGGAGCGAGTTGTATAGGATGTTACAATTTTTGTTTCTTTTTTACTTAATTAGGTTGTTTGAAAAATATTTTTTTTAATTATGGATTTTGTTTAACGTTAATAATTTTTTATGATTATTGGCAAGTAGCGTTAGACGTGTGTTCATTTATTGTCACGATGGTAACGACACGCGATGGTAGCTTGCCATTTTCAAACAAAAAAGGTGTTTTAAAATAAACGGTTCGATGTAATTTTTAGTGTAAGTCGCCGCAAACTGTCGCAAATGTTTGCCGCTGCCGGATTAAGCGTCCAGACGCTATAACCACTAAGCTAGCAACTAAGCTTGGTCTTCCTAATTTGGAGCAGTGCTATTCGATCTGCCAACCGCATTTATCGATGTACTTTCTACTTCTAGCGATCATAAACGATTTTTTTAAATAAAGATCTTCTCATCATTCACGATGATCATCCTTCTTGCGTCCGTTCGCCTACAGCGTATTAAGTGGTAAATTAAATTTAAATCCACTAAATTATGTTAATGAAGGATTCCTAAAGCACGAGGCCCGCTAATATTAATTTAAGCGTTATTTTATTCAAACAACGTGATTAATTTCGAATTAATTAACGCCGGATGTTTCGGATCGAGGTATGCTATGGATATTGAAATGAGGGCAACATATGCCCCTTCAGTTTCAATTCCAGCAGCATGTTCTGACCGACGTTCACGCGGTCGTATCGTGCGGACTTGCCTTTACGAAGCTAATGGTAAACTTAGTTTGTTTGTATGTAATTAATAATCACTGATAGAACTGTGGTAGGGCCACGCAACAGTCTTATCTGTTGCACGAATGGGCAGGTCCGTCCGGGTAAGTGCCACGACCTCGCAGAAGACCGGCGTGAAGCGGAACTGTTATACTTCTGCTATTCGGCCGGTGAGTGAGGTAGCCGTACAACGTAGCAACCCTACGAGTGTTGCGACCGTTGTCATCATTTCTGATGACTCCGTGGCGAAGTAGCCAAGGTATTGGCTTCGGCGTAGGGGGTCGCGGGTTCGTTTCCCACACGGGACAACTATTTGTGTGATCCACAGACAGTTGTGTCGCATTTGGGTGTTTGTCCGCGTGAAATTTGTGTTTGTGAAACGTCCTTACAACACAGGATAATGTTATCCTAAAGTAAGGGCATTAAAAAAAAAGAAAAGAAAAAACGTCAGGGGAACCGCCAGCTCGTTTGCCCCCTTTTCTCTATAAAAAGGCTAATATTTATTATTTATTTGTAGATCAAGGTAGAACGAACACCCGAAATATTCCACGGTATATTCCAAGGTTGGTGCCGGCACCAATGAAGTTTTTAACTTTAAGTGCTGACCTGTCACGGGCTCCGCGGAGAAGGTAAACATCGTGAGGAAAGCTGCATATTTTCGAAATAATTACAAAAAAAATATATTTCGAAGATATGTGAAGTCCGCAAATCCACAGTGGGGCCCGCGTGGTGGACTATGCCCTGATACCCTCTGTATAGAGGAGGCCTTTGCCAAGCAGTGCGACATGTATAGGCTGTTACTTCATTTTGTTTTTATTTTATTTCTTAAAGATTGAAAATAAAGAATAAAGAAGAATAAAGATTATGTGAATCACTATACGAATAGTTTAAAGTAACTTGGATTTGTCTAACAAAGTGAAATCAGGGGTATTGTGTATTACTTTACATGTGAAATAATTTATAGTGTGTAGCATGCCCTTATTTCAGGATGACACTATCCTGTGTTATGAGGAAGTTTTACAAACACAAGTTTCACGCAGACAAACACCCAGATGCGAAACAGCTATTTATGGGCCACACAAATCGTTGTCCCGTGTGGGAATCAAACCCACGACCCTCGTACGCCGAAGCCTTTTGAAATACTTTGACAACTGCGCCACGGAGTCATCATAATTTACTTTGTACACGATAATATTCCGATGCACGAAGTCATTACCCGATAAGTTTGACGCCACGACCATTTACCTTCAAGCTTATATGTGCGTAAATTTCTACATTTCTCTTAAAATAGGTGACTTATACGAAATGCCAAGTAACACACGTTTTCAGAAAGGGAAGGTCTATGTTTGATCTATGATTTCACGGAAAAAAGGGCTAGCCTAAACTAAATCTCATTGCATAATGATTTTTTTTTTCTGTTTGAAATTTTATTAATTTTTCGATCGTTTTATTTTAAAGCGGTAATATTTATGTGTTGATTTTTTTTTTGCTCATTTTTTATTAAATTTAGTTTTTTTTATTACGTGCGTCCTTTTTCTCGTAAATAAATTTATTTTCTTTTTTTCTTTCTATATTTTGTCCGACGACGACACCGTCTGTTTATTGCCAGATGAGGTAATTAGCAGAAAACTTATATCATAGTCCCACAAATACCCGCCGGTTAGTTCTCAGTAAATTAAAGCTCCTTGTTCTAATTTTCATAAATGTAGAATGCCAGTCTATAGTTCTGTGAAGGTGAAAACAATTTTTATTTACATAAACTTCCTATGTATCGTCTACAAGTATTCAGATATTGAAAATACGAGTACGTTATAGGAAAAGTTGCCAAGAAATGAGATAAGGGCGACATCAGATTTTTTTATTTACTCACTCAAACTCAAACTACAACTGTCACGAAATGAATATCTATTGTTTGCAGAGTAATGGATGCAATGTGTGCCAAGCTGATAAGCAAGTGAACTGGAATTAGTGTATAAATATATACAATCAGTCCGAACGTATAACGATATTTTATGGGCACTCATTAGTTCAATTGTCCCGGTGAGTTTCTTTCGCCGATTCTTCTCAGGTCACTTTCTTCTCCGAACCGGTAGTAGTGGTTGACAATAAATAATGAGTGCGTGATGTACGAAGCTGGCGCGAGGCCTGCTTTTAAAACGAGTCACCGACCAGCCATTCGCTGGTCGAGATACACATCTCGACCAGCGAATGGCTGGTCGGTGGTGAGGATGGCCATGGGCCATCCCTTTCCCTGACCGCGGTAGCGGCACTTGCGGGTGTACGGCGTTACACGCGGTGTGTAACGCGAGGACGACATCGACACAGCGGCGGAAGTGCGGTCGGATCCGGCCCCCCAATGGCCTGTTCCGACCGCAGTAGCTCTCGTGGGAGCGGACGTCCGTCAGGAGGACGGGCATGGAGTGGGGCAATATTCTCCAGGTGTGGGTGTGGTCCGTTGTCGGCCCTGTCGTACATGCGACGGGCCAACCGGACCACAAACTCCTTGATGGACTCGATCTTGAGATCTCGGGCTATTACGTCGTTCCTGACATAACGCCCGGCCCCCACGATTGCTCGAAGGTTTTGCTGCGCCTGGAGCCTGCGCCTCTGTGAGGCGGAAACCAGTGCATACCACGCTGGAGCGGCGTAGGTCAAGCGCGAACGGATGTAGGTTTTATAGACGCCCAGTTTCGTCTTAACAGGTAGCTTGGATGCCAGGATTGGGTAAAGGACCGCTCGAGCTGCCCTGATTTGTTGAACAGAGTGTTTGACTTAGGGAGCCATACTCAGCGAGCGGTCTATCCGGCACCCAAGATACCTGATGGTGTCTTGGTTCGTTATCGCTTGACCTCGCAGCTCAAGCGTGGGTTGGTATTTGTTGTGGCGGATGTAGATGGCGGACGTCTTGTCAACATTGACAGACATCCACCACTTATCCAACCACTCGGTCAGCAAGTCCAGTTGGCGCTGCATCTTCCTCGCCGCAAACGCCGCCTTGTGTGAAGACGTGAAGAACGCACTGTCGTCCGCAACAGGGCCAACGGTAACATTTTGCTCCAAGGTGGGAATGTCGTCCGCGTACAACGCATACAGGTGTGGCGATAGACAACTACCTTGTGGTGCACCGGCTTTGATACATCGTACCGCCGAGTCGGCTCCCTCGACGTGTACGACGAACTTCCGGTCCCGGAGAAACGACGCTACTAACCGCACGAGCGCGCGGTGGGAGGTGGTATTCTCCAACAGCTTATGCAGTAGGCCCTCGTGCCACACTCTGTCGAAGGCCTTCTCCATGTCGAGAAGGACCCCCAGACAGATGCGGCCCCGGTTGTACTCGGCCGCAAGATAGTGCAGCACTCGGGCCAGCTGCGCCGTGGTGGAATGGCCGCTGCGGAAACCGAACTGTTCCCTGCGTAGCTCGATGCAGGGAACTATTCTCCGCAGCGGCAACCGTTCAAAAAGTTTGGCTACGTGCGGCAGTAGCGTAATCGGTCGGTAGCTCCCCGGAAATCGTCGGTCCTTGCCCGGTTTCGGCAGGACGATGATCTTACCGGTTTTCCACTCAGAGGGGAAGTGCGCCGTGCGCAGTACACCATTGTACAGGCGGCACAGCGCCACTAACCCCCTTTTCGGTAGTTGCCTTGTCGCCAACGTCGTGATTCCGTCGGTGCCGGGTGCCCTGCGGAGCGCGAGATGACTCACGGCTCTACGCACTTCGGCCGGAGTGATGAAAAGTCCACCATCCAGCCGTGGCACCGGCTCCGACAGGAACACCTGTATGTGCCGCTCCACTTCTTAATGAGTGTAATGCTAGGAGCATTACACTCATGTAATGTTGAGCATGTTGCATAAAGATATTTCAATTTGAGTTCTTGGATAACTAACATGTCTCTATGTCTGACTAAGATTTTAACGTGTCGTCACATCAATAAGTTTGAGATTCTCACTCGTATCGAGTAAACTATTTAAAGACATTTTTTTGATTTTTTTACTCAATGTTTTTTCCAGTGCTGCACGGGCGAGCTCTAACACGGCCTGCTGACGTGAAATGGAGGTTTTATAATTAAATAGTTCCAGGTTAATAATTAATTATTTAAAAGTAATTTCATGATACTTATAAAACATATACAATCGGTAATCAAATCTTACAAGAATATTCATACGAAATATAATCGTTAATCACCGATAACAAACATCTAGAGTACAAGTTGTTTTCCATACCTCTTTATTAATAGTAACTCAGAATCTATATATAACTTAGCAAATTTATCTGTTCTTATCCCCCCCGTTTTGTCTACGCCGCACGCTTCCCAACAATAAATCAATCGATTTCATTACGCGCATTAATCACGTGGACACCAGAAATCATTCAGTCCCTATACGTGTGGTATCACAATATAGCGGTGTATGCACCTTATACGCTTTAAATCTACTCACCAAGCCGCAGTAGACCCATCAGCAGCACCACGCATCCCGAGAGGAAGGTGAGGAGTATCACGAAGTCGATGGGCAGCCCGCGGCACGTCTGCAGAGTGAGGAGGGCCATCAGGCTGGTAGGTCCGATGGAAACCTCCTTCACGGTGCCCAGGAAAACATACAGCATCGTACCTACGGTACAATGCCAACAGCGAGATTCAGCAATAGCGAATTAGAACACCTTATTAAGTAATTAACACAATTACATAAACATTCCAAACAATAATTTAAAGGTAGTCTTTAAGGTATACAGCGTGTCTTTACAATCGCGACAATAAATGAACACACATATAGGGGATAACTTTTTAAAATTGTATTAAACATTTACATTCTTTAAACATCAATGTTTACAGAGTTATTAAATTTTCCAAAACAAAGAATTTTATAACACCCTTACGTATAAAACTGTAACGTAAAGTTCATTTGTAAAGGTCACAAAGCATATGAATGGGTCGAATGAATTTAAAAGAGACAAAACATACTGTTAGAAGGAGAGGCTTGTAATGCGACGCTGTGGCGAAAGTTGTATAGGATGTTACAAATTTTGTTTCTTTTTTACTTACTTAGTTTGTTTGAAAAATATTTTTTAGACGTATGTTCATTTATTGTCGCTATGGTAACGACACGCGTATATCAAGCTTAGCCTGACTTTGATGGACACGTTATAGGCAATACATAGTAATATATTTAGATGTGTTCCTATTTAGGAATTATCATTATTTTAGATATGAACATAATTTCTTCATTGTAAGCACAATATAAGGCTTTTTCCTAAGTATGGTGAAGCCAAAGAAAGGAGTGTTGTGTTTCACCTGTGTTTGTGTGTGTTTCTGTACCTGTGTTCTCTCTCAACAACGAAAACGGCTCAACAACAAGACGAATGATATGTCGTTGGATCCGCCTTTATTCCATGAATGTTAAATCCAAATAAAGGATTTTTGGCACCAGAATGTATGTTGTAAAAAAATATAGGAACGTAATACTTATATAGGAACGTGTACTTATGTAGGAACGTAATAAGTTATATTTATTTGGTGTAACAAAAGGAAAATACCTAAGTAATCCTTAGTACTCTTTGTTTGTGAAAAAAATACAATTACAAAATAAATTCAATGGCAAAAAGTTATTATTGGTTATCGGTTGTTATCGTAAAAATTCACTAATTTTTCCCGAACGCGCCAAATGGAGTATAACTTTGAAATTTCGCACTGTAGTCGGGTTAATTTTTTTTATTTCGAGCTTCAACAGCGAAGTTTCAATAAAGATAATAATACTTTTTAAATTAAATGTTGAATGACGATAGTTTTTATTTAAACATTTTCTCATGATTGTGCCATAGGTGTAAGGCGTTATTTTGTTTCGCAACACAACTGTTGTCGACATATTTTCTGCGGTTGGACCACGAAGCAGCTTCTGCTGTTGGACAAATTACTAAAAATTACTAAAAAATTGGACGTTTTCGTAAAGTTTCGCAACGCATTTTCAATTCACACAAGTGTTGACTATAGGACACGGATCATTTGACATCATCAATCGTATTCGTAATCCATAAAACAGCCGTTGTAAAATTCAAGTGTACAGAGTCAGTTAGAAATATATTATTTCCATCATAAATATACCGCTAATCCACTTTACATCATTAAGAGAACATTAAAAATAAGGATAAAAGCCTTTACTTTTATTTAAAAATACATTTTCTTTGGAATGTCACTCGTTAAACGTTATTACTCTCATAAAATTTCATTATCCAGCCCTAAAAACCTTAAAAATATCAAATAACGTTTTTACATCAAAAGCATTACAATTTATTTTCAAGGAAAAAAGCTTTTTAATCATATAGGCCATTAAAGGCCATTGAACTATGGAGTGTTCGAAATCTTTAATTAACGTATCAAATGTAATTGTTAGTTATTGTTTTAAAATTAATTTATTTAACGGCATAGAAAAAGTTACATTTATTACAAATAAGTTTTCACCTTTTTATCATTATTAAATTTTATTACATAAAAAAATATATGTTGATATCGAATCTTAGCTTAAAGAAAATATTCAACAGACGTCACTGAATAAAAGAATCATAATTTAAGAAATAGAAAGGATATGAAATATCAATATACCGCTATAATGAAAACACGGCATCGTTAACTGTCAACACTGCACTCCAACTGAACAACTGTTCTAGTTTGTATTTACGCTTTATCGGTGCTCATTAAGGCTAACTCATTTCGAATTCATTACATATTATAAAACAAAGTCGCTCCCGATGTTTGTGCGTCTTTTAAACTACCCAACGGATTTTAATGCGGCAATAGATAGAGTGATTCAAGCGGAAGGTTTATATGCATATTATTTAAAAAGAAAGCCGTGAAATTAAATATCTACATTGGACCCGAGTGAAGCCGGAGCAGGTCGCTAGTTTAAATTTAAAATAAATTATAAATATTTGTATTGCTTGTACTTTCTCCTTGAGGAGAATAAGATTTTGATAATATACTCCTTAACTAGGCTCTTGGGCAAAGCTGATTATAGCTGAATTTGCCGACATATTTCTTTGGTTGATATTAAGCAAAAGTGGTAACAACGAGTCCGTTAACAAATACATCAATAGCATTAAAAAGGACACGTACCGATGAAGGCTGAGTAGAGGCCGTACTGCACTGGGAGGTTGGCGAGCGAGGCGTACGCTATGCTCTGCGGCACCAGCATCAGCCCCAGTGTGATCCCGGCGATCAGGTCAGCTACGGCGGTGCTACGGTCGTAGGCGCGCGCCCACCGTAGCACCGGAAGTCGCCGAGCCAGCGCCGCCCGCCAGCCGTCGGACTGGCGCCCTCGCGCGGCCATCGGCTCCCCCTCCTCTGTGTCCATCGCCACTTATCAAAATGCCGGCCACTCGTCACTCCCAAAGCCTCGGTCGGCTGACAACGCACGCTCTTACCGGTGCGCGCCTCAGGACTGGGCCCGACTGTCAGCCGCATTATCTTTAGTAGGAACCTCGATGACGTCGGAAGCAAACAACGCTGATAATAAATAACACGACATCGGCTCCTGCCGTCTCGTAAGGTGTTCCTCATCCTAATCGATATAGGAGTAATTGTTCCTCGGAACAGACAGAGGAACTAAGTCATTAAATGGAACTTAATATGCAAAGTAGATATTTTATAATTCATACGATTGCTTTTTTTTTTGTTACAAATGCACCCACCTAAAATTTTCTGAAGCACCCCAAGGTTGATTGGGAGATAATGCTGACGGCATTAAGTCCGCCTTTGTAAATTCATGTGTTCGCATAAAGAATAAATAGATAAATAAACTTTAGTGAGCGGGCTTGCAAGTGTTTCAGAGTTGATAAAATAAATAAAGAGCCACAACAGAGCGTACTTTAGCTAGTTTATTAATAACGGAGCCTTATCTATTGGACAAATGTTTATTCTATTGCCTCCGTCTAGGCGTGCACAGTAGTGGCGCATACTGCATAGATAACATTGATCGCATAAATTTAACTACAATATGCCTATTCAAATCACCTATGACCTTACTTGGATAACGTCAACTTGTTCATTATCTTCCATTTGGATAAAACAAATAATTTTTCCATCTTGTGAAAATTTAAATAACATTAGTTGATTCATATAGTCTTGTTCTGGTTCAACTGTTCATACAAAGAATCTGAAATTCAACTATATTTCAGATTCAAATCCACCGGTCCGGCTAAACATTCGGGCAATCTATTACCGAATAATTTATGAGTACTGTAAAATATGTATTGTATGTGAAACAGTTTTTTTTATTGAGATACAAAGGAAATTATGCGACAATTCATTTGAAATAAAGATAGCATTAAAGTTAAGAAAGTAAAATTATGCGCTTCATTTTAAACAATGAATTTTTCTCAATGACCTATTTTAGCAACATTTTTTGACGACCCGAATGGCGTTGTGGGTAGTGTACTTGCCTCCTGCGCCAGAGGGTGTGGGTGCGATCCCCACTACTGGATTAATATTGTGTCATGAACATAGTATTTTTCTGGTGTCTGGGTGTTAATATATGTATAACATGTATTTATTTACAAAAGAAAAGTATGTTTATCAGTTTTCTAGCACCCATAGTATAAGCTTTGCTTAATTTGGGACTAGAGAATGTTGTGCAAAAAATGTGTCCTAAAATATTTATTTATTATTTATTTATTTATTATTTTCATTTTTGGTTCGGTTAAATGATCTACTTGAAACTAATGGTTCATTTTGTGCCTCAATGGTTCATTCCGCCGTTTGTTCTATTCTTCTAGGCCTAGAAGAATAGAACTAACGACGGAATAATCTGAATACTTGATCTGAATACTAATCCTGAAGACTTGATGTTTTGCGAAACTGATTCGCGTTTAATAATTTATATAAATTGTTGTTTGAATTACCACGCAATTCTAGAATTTAAATGGATCCAAATCCAGAAGTATTTCCGTATGAAAATTCGCCTGTAAATGATTTTTCTCTTGATTCCATGATAGATACTATCAAGCGGTTAACTAATGTAACAAAAACTAAGCGAGTGCATTATTCTCACTTTTATTTTAGCAAAATGTCGTATAGTGTGTAATGGAAATCAATTCAGTAAGCTCAGTAGTTTTTGAATAACACTCATTAAAAACAATTAGGATGTTCAGAAAGAGATCGCATCTAATTTTATGATGGGAAAACCTTTAAAGGCATTTGCAACATTGTCATTTTATATTCAACGTAGTAGTTTGGTCGCAACTTGGTAACTACAGCCGTATGTTTATTACAACAACCATGGTTCTTCATAAATATTATTGTTATTCGACTGCTGATATTTTGTTTATATACTCACTATTTATGATATTTGCTTGTGTTCTCAAACGCCATATATCATCTACTTAATCTTATCTAGCTTACACATATTAAAACAAGAAAAATGTGATATAAAAACGTAAGGAAAGACTAACTATACCAAAGACTATACGAAAGACATCGAGATATTAGTTTCTTCTTCTTTGCATTTCGCTTAGAATTTTTGAAATTTCTTGTTTGGAGGCTAATGTCAATACACTACACTACCGATTTAACAATAGCTATAGGTACATTACAAAGCAGATTTATAAGGATATTATAGTTCAATATATATATAAAACCAATTAAAATTTTTGGCATGAATTCCGTCGACGGAAAAAATCGACAGACGCGTTTAATCGCGACCTTCTTAAAAATGTCCCCTTGAATTATTTAAGTTGAACTCACTTCCACTCTCCACTTATAACTGTCTCTCCTCCGCACAAGAAAAGATTGCTTCTCGGAATTCCTCTTCAGACGTAACAACTTGTACTATATAACGGCACAGACCCCAGATTCTTTTATAGACGCTGGTTTTCTCGTCTTATTTTTTTTTTTTCACCTTCGAGCAACTGGAAAGCTCTTAAAACGAAACACAACAGTCGTGATGGCTCAGTGTATATTACATTAAATGTATATGTAATGTAATATACACTGAGCTGTATGTCTCGGTGCTCGCTTATAGTTCAATGTACTTGAGCAACCTGAGTTCAAATACCTGTGCCAGTGCAAATGACTCCTGACGTATATGAAAATGACTCCTGACTTAACACGTGCTCAGCGGTGAAGGAAAAAAATCATCAGGAAACCTGCATATTTTAGAAGTAATGACAGAAAAGTATTTCGAAGATTTGTGAGATCCACCAATCCGCAGTGGGGTCGTGTGGTGGTCGATACCCTAATACACTCCTAATACACTTGTTACACAGAGGAGGCCTTGCCCAGCGGTGGGACATATATAGGCTGTTACTTTACGGCAGTCGTAGTTTGTAAAATTACTCACAGACCCATTATATCCTCACTGGAGTGGGCGCTCCGTATGCTTGCCAGTGTGCTGACTGACATGGCGGGGCTGGCACGCCGCGCGCGACAATGCCCCATCGCTGGCAAAATCCTCTGAGCTCGTCACCACCGAAGCTCCAAGCTGCGGTGACGACACACCGTCACACAACATGAGAAACGAATACACATAAGTCAGAGACTACTTTTATTACTTAACTTATTACTTGGATAACTGGACACAAAACTACACTTACATAATTATAATAAACGTACTTTTCAATTAAAGTCAAGTCAAAATTTATTTATTCAACATAAGCTTATTTTAAGCTCTTATTGAACGTCAAAAACTGCCCGCGGTTCACTAAACTAGAACTGCCAGAGAAGAACCGACAAGAAACTCTGCGGTCTTATAATTTTTTTTTCTTTGAAAGTATAAAATTGACTGGGAGAGAATGCCCAAATGGCATTAAGTCCGCCCTTTGTAATCCTTTTTTAAGGTTTTGCAATAAAGCATAAATAAATAAATAAAATAAAATTAGCAGGAGCCAGGGGACTTGCAAATGCAGAGCAAGAGTCATTTCCATAGGTATAGGTATTGCCATCGACAGGAAAAGAAGAAGAAGAAGAAGAGACATTTCCATACATCCTTGTCCTTAATGTATTCCTCGACATTATAATAGGCCCTTTCCATTAAGGTAGCTTTTATAAAATGTTTGAAATAATTTACGCTTAATAGTTTGCGGATGTCACCTATTCTATTATATACCTACTTAGATATACAGCGTGTCGTTACCATCGCGACAATAAATGAACACACGTCTAAAGCTACTTGCCCATAATCATAAAAAAATATTAACGTTAAAAAATATCCATAATTAAAAAAATATATTTTTCAAACAAACTAATTAAGTCAAAATGAAACGAAATTTGTAACGTCCTATACAACTACAACTGACTGATTCATAAATTCAGAGACATTTTCATTCGTTGTCGCGGCGTCGCATTGCAAGCCTCTCCTTCTAACAGTATGTTTTGTCTCTTTTAAATTCATTCAACCCATTCATACGCTTTGTGACCTTTAGAAATGAACTTTGCGTTACAGTTTTATGCGTAAGGGTGTTCTAAAATTATTTGTTTTGGAAAATTTAATAACTCTGTAAATATTGATGTTTGAAGAATGTAAATTATTGATACAATTTTAAAAAGTTATCCTCTATATGTGTGTTCATTTATTGTCGCGTTGGTAACGACACGCTGTATAATAATCAATACAAAAAGAAAAAAATACATACATACATAGATAAATATATAAATGTAGTCTGATATACATACATATAAATATAATAGTAGGATAATTAATTTTGTAAAAATGTTGAGCCTAATATATATACGAGTAGATAGTTTATGTTGTGAACGAATTATTTTAGTAGTACCAACTCGGAGACGTTAGATAACTTTAAATAGCAAATTTTTTTTGTAGATAAATGAACAAAACCATTTGTCGCTCTTGGATTCGAAACTGCGGCATCTACAAGTCAAGACGCTTTACCAACTAAGCTAAGCGGCCGATGTCCTCGCGACGCGAAAGTCTTGACATCTATCTACGTTCGGTCTATTGCATTTTTAGATTACTAAAAATGCTAACTTTTTCCTAACTCTCGAGTATTGACTCGTGAGTTATCAAACGCAATTCTTAAATAGCGTTAAATTGATTTGTTTGGATTGAGTTCCTACTAAGACTCAACCACTTACATAAGAGAGAAGGCAGCTCAATACCAATAAAAGATTGACAGTGCAACTGGGTCTGTTATTTCACTCCCAAGAGGAACTGCAAAATATAACATTTACTATTTACGCCGTATCATGCATCGAAAGCTGCTAGGCGGCCCTAACACAATACGTAGATTAATAATCATATAGAACAATCAATATAGATTTATTCGAAGTTGGCAAATGCAACTGTATCCCGGCACACCCATTATCAGATGTAGCAAAGACTCGGTATGAATTGGTGAAATTAGTTATTAGGCGTATAGATCGTAAGGTTTTGTTTATTTTATGAACACCTATGAGGGTGGCACAATCATGTTTGATTAAACCCTCATTGAAAATATATAGGAGAATAATTGAAAGTGTCATAAAAGAGGTGGCCGGGGCCCATTTTACTAAAAGGTGGCAACGCATCTGGGACCCTACGGGTGTTGCAAATTTCCATGGGCGGCGGTTTTCACTTAGCATCTGGTGGACCGCCAACATAACAATAAAAACAAATATGCTTATGTCTTTTTTTATTCTTTGTTTGTAAATTCAGAACATATGTTACGTTTACTTCTATAACATGTTAAAAGATGATACCCATCTTAATTTTGAAAGTAAAAATTCTATTGAAGCGTTTTGTAATGTCGTTATAGCTTTCGACTTAATGGCAGTGATTCTATAATCATTTGATACAAATTTACATTCGGAATGGCGTCATTAAAACGCGTATAAATTAAGGATGTTTACACTAGTGAATTAATGAAGATTAATATGGTGATTTCTTGTATGGACTTAATTTCTCGCTAATCGCTGGCAGTCTCGCGAGGGTTTATTAGGCCTTTACTGTTAGCATGTATCGGGCTGTCCATGAATCGCATAATCGCACCGATTGGTGATACCTTCTATATATAATTCGTCTGTGCGTGTGTATGTCACTGAACTCCTTCTAAACGGCTGGACCGATTTTAATGAAATTTTTTGTGTGTTTCAGGTCGATTCGAGAATGGTTTAGATATGTACTGTACAAAGTCTGTTGGGTCTGCTAGTATTTTTATATATTGTACGTGGTCCCGATCCTCAGCTTTGAATGAAAGAGGAAGAAGAAGAAGTACTGGTCTCTTTCTATGGGACAATGTGGCAAAAGGCAGGTGTTACGGAAGTAGGTGATAACCGCCACCTATGGGAATGCAAACGCTCGAGGTAGCAAATGCATGGCCATCATTCAAGAAGGCCCGCCCCTCGAAAATGTCTAACTTTGCTTAGACCTTCTGCTCTTTATAACCGACTTCGTAATAGGAGGTTCTCAATTCGGGTGCAATTATTTAACTCAGAATTCTGTCGTTTATGAACCGATTGTAAATTAGATGACTCCGTGGCGCCATTGCCAAGGTACTGGCTTCTGCCTCAGCTTTAGGGTTCGATTCCCACGAAGCACAATTCCTGTTTGTGTGACTCACGGATAATCGTCTCGGATCTGGGTGTTTGTCGTTGTTGTGTTGTTTGTGAAACTTCGTTATAACACTTACTTATTTTGTTAATTTATATAAAAAAAGAAAAAAAATATTATTTAATGGGTTCGGCTTAGCTCAAATGTGGTCCCATAATTTCTATGGTATTGTTTATATGTCCTTGGATTACGGAGACACTTATGAATACTCCCCAAATCAAATAGAATTAGTGGGTGAGATTTCTGTCAATAAAAATGTGATTATTCTAATCTTAGGAAACTCTCCATTATATAAAAGTTATTGGGTCGAACGTGAGAAATGATTAAGCTATCTTTTTTTAAATTAAATGATACATCTAGAACAAAGTTATCAATGTGGTACAAGGTGAAATGTTTAAATACACAAGAAGTGTGCGAGTGCGATTTAAAAAATCACGGCTGTAACTTGGTAGATGTCGTAGAAACTATAATATTATATAATATCGGGAGAAATACAGTTCAAAAGATTATTCGCTTAACTTCCGTGCTTGTACATTTATTTCGTTTGTTATAAGGTAATTAAAATAATGTAAACTTAATAGTAAGTTTAGCATGATGTGCTAGTTTTAGTTTGTGAAAGTCAAATCAATGTTAATACGTAAATAATGCCATAGTTTATGTTGACGATCCAAAATGTCTAACTGCTTATTAAATTGAATATTAATTACAAAATCATTTGTGTAACTTTATGATTTCGATAATCAGCTACAATTAGTCAATGTTGTAGTATTGATTAATTTTAAATAACTAAGATTCATTATAGGAGAAAACTTACGAAACAATATTTGCAAAGAAATATTTTGTCAGCCGAATAATATTTGGGTAATCTAATAATTGTTTATTAACTTATAATGCTATCTAATTATTTCTATTACTTTCAACCGTTCCTAAATTGTTATTTTAAGGAAAAAAAAACACGTTACAATCCTTATTTAACAATGTGTAGAACTCGCGTACGCAAATACGAGAAATCGTCACGTTTTTAAATGCTTAACTAAATATAAAAATATAGCAATGTTACATACCCCTTTTACGTTCCTAATTCGGACGCTCTCGGTTGAGACGTGGACGAACAACGCACGCTTGTTATGTTCGCAGACTGAAGAATCGACGAAGCAAACGCATTTAGAGACCCGAAACACGAGGCGACCGGTCCCTCGGACATCCTCCGAGAGGACATTGACAAAGGGGTTCCGTATCAACACGCAGTCTGAATGCGCGCGACAATGCTGTGGAATCAGTTGTCGCCAGCGGTCAGGGCCAGATTTAGAGGTCTGGAGGCCTTGGGGCAACAAAGGAGTGGAGGCCCCTTGCACCCAAATTATTTTCTATTGATTTCTGTTAATATTTAATTTAATCATGTTTGTACAAAGTGCTGTAGGTAAAAATAAAACGCGGAAAAAAATATGAAAGCTTGTTTACTAGTCTATATATGAATTTTTTTTCCGAAGTATATTGTGGGGGCCCCTGATTTGTGGAGGCCGCGGGGCTGTTGCCCTGGTTGCCCTACTCTAAATCCGGCCCTGCCAGCGGTACATCCGTACCGATACAACTTGGTGACCTTCAAGAAGAGAGCCTACCCCTTCCTCAATAACGGCGGCAGTGAGCTGGCCCGTTTGCCTTTTTATTATAAAAAAACATTAATTCTACACAAATATTTCGTTGCATAACAACATAATATACTCAAAATGTTTATTGTAAAAATATAAATACATCCAATGTTCAATACATTCGAAAATATGCTAATTTAGCTGCTCTTAATTAGCATTTTTTCGATGTTTTGAACTTGATAGAACTGTATTTAACTTATGTTTTTGCTTTAGCTAAGTTTCGTTACGTAGCCTTTTAAAACATCGTCGAACGATAAGGGTTTACTTGTTTAAGAACTAAGTTCAGTTCGACTGAACTAGTAAACGCCGTATTGTTCTGTCAGAAGGGTGTATGCTTAAATCCAAGTATCACTACATAGTATAAAATAAAGTCGTCCCGCTGTCTATCTGTCCCTATGTATGCTCAGATCTTTAAAACTACGCAACGGATCTTGATGCGGTTTTTTTTTAACTAGATAGAGTATTTCAAGAGGAAGGTTTATATGGATAATACATTGCACCCGTGCGAAACCGGGGCGGGTCGCTAGTGAACATATAAAAGCACTCTGTAATTCTGTATTATAATTTAGATGTATTGTGAATGTGTATCTGAGACGATGCCAAAAACAAGAATATCTAAAACTGCAACAAATGTAGGTAAGATACATTTTATACCCAGAATTAAATATGCATATTCGTTTTGTTTCTTTGGACATTCCTGGGACGTGTTTCGCTACGTTCACAAACCGAAAGAGATGGATAATCCTCATTTCGGTGAGAGTAAGTGAGAGCATTGTCATGCTACTATACTAATCCTTAGCAAAAATTAAACATTTTTAAGTCTAATTAACTAATAAAAACCTTTTTATTAACAATATTACGAAGTAATATAGTTGTTTAATAAATGCGGATCTCCAGTTTTATGTTTTATAGCACCGGACTAAGGTAAAATAGTTCGGTAATTGAATTAATTAATCAAAACTCGTACCCTTACGGAGCGATTTTACCGGTTCTTAATTTGTCGACGTCGCAGAGGTCAATTTCCTCGTCCATGTTGAGATCTGGTATTTGCTCCCAAAGCGACTCCGAGGACTCCGTGGCGCAGTGGCCAAGGTATTGGCTTCGGCGTCGGGGGTCGTGGGTTCGATTCCCACACGGGGCGACTATTTGTGCGACCCATAGACCATTGTTTCGCATATGGGTGTTTGTCAGCTCACGATAATGTTATCCTTAAGTTAGGGCTATGTTTTTAAATAAAATAAAAAAAGCCGGTTGACGTCACACAGACGGCCGGTCGTAAAGAACCCGGCTAAACGCATTAAAGACATAATTGAAATGTTGTGCCGACTCCATCTAGATATGTCCTCCACAATCTATGTCAGTGTGTATGCGGTAGGGCCACGGAACAGTTTTCACTGTTTCACGAACGGGCATATCCGTCCGAGTAAGTCAGCGAAGTCGAAGTTATACTTCGGCGTTTCGTCTGAGGTAAACGGAGTCCACTTTAATAATATATTTTATAGGTCGTGAACGCATCTTTTGTGTTGTCGGTAATCAATTAACATCTGGTGTCGCCTGCTCGTTTTACATACTTTTAGACGAAGAGAAATTTTAACAAATTATAAATATTTTTAATTGACGACCCGAATGGCGTAGTCGTTAGTGTACCTGCCTCCTGCGCCAGAGGGTGTGGGTTCGATCCCCACTACTGGAAAAATATTGTGTGATGAACATACTGTTTATCTAGTGTCTGGGTGTTTATATATCTATAATATGTATTTATTTACAAAAGAAAAGTATGTTTAAGTATGTTTATCAGTTTTCTAGTACAAGCCATAGTACAAGCGTTGCTTAGTTTGGGATTAGAAAATGTTGTGTAAGAAATGTGTCCGAAATATTTATTTATTATTATTATTTATAATATAGAACAAAGTCGTCCCGCTATCTGTACGTCCCTATCTATGCTTAGATCTTTAAAACTACGCAACAGATCTTGATGCGGTCTTTTTATACTTGTGTAAAAATGTGTCGGAAAAAAAAACATTTCAGGACATATTTCAAGACAAGGTTATATAGTCGAAAACTAAACAAGGCGTGTACTATTGGACAGCATGCATGCTGTGGGCATCAACGATATGGTCTGACACAGTTATCAAGGCGAGAGCGACAGCATGCATCGTGCTATCCATACCGCTTACTAACGCACCTAATTGAGGCTTTTAGTATGTGGTTGGGCCTGAGGTAGGGCCACGCAACAGTGTTCACTATTGCACGAGTGGGCAGGTCCGTCCGGGTAAGTACCGCGACCTCACAAGTGTTACACTTATGCACACAGGTTACACAGGTAAGTGAGGTAGCCGGGGCCTACTTATCTAAAGGTTCAACTGTTCATGGGTGGCGGTTATCACTTACCATCAGGTGAACCGGCAGGTCGTTTATCACTATCTCACATAAAAGTGGTCGAGATCCTCAGTTTTGAGGAACCGAAGAAGAAGAAATGTACTCCATAAGGGTCGTAGGGGTGCGGTGTGTTGATTTTTTTTTTTCAGTGATTAGTCAATCTGATGCAGCGAGCTTCTTGTCCATTATAGATCATTCTATCTCTTCCTTATATTATATATATTGAAAAAAGAAAAGATAATTTTAAAGGCTTTTAGTTATTATAGTGCTTTTCTCTGCTCTTAAGATGAAATTTAAAGAAATGTGGGGAAAAATGCACGAAATTATCCCGCGCCGCGAGGAATCCTTCTTGTTGTTCAAATCCCTTACTTATATCATATAAGTTATATGTTTAGAAAATTATAAATTTCATCTTATGTGCACAGCATGCACTAAAAATTTATATCTTTTAAATTTTTTAATTGGATGGGATTGATGTAGTGGTGGTGGTGGTGGTTATAAAATAAAACTCCGAGCGTTTAGTAGCAAAAGTTTAATTGCTACAGAACCCACAGCCGCTGCGTGACATTAGTCCAGCGCCGTTCCTAAATGCACGCTGACCCCTTCCGACGAGCTATATAATTTACACCCATACCACGCTACCTCTAAACACATATTAGTCAGTGATTATACATATTCGTATCGCTTTACGATATACCCTTAACGACGATCACAAAAGAAATTCAACCCTTAACTATAATGTTACTATCGATCCAGATTTAGTATCGTCTGGACCTCTATCGCGTTACAGTGCGTGTAACGATTAAGACCAACCCATGTTAAGATAGCAATAAAGCTAAGGTAGCGAAGTCTGGTAACAGTGCAATAAATAAATAAATTAACATAAAAATATGTGCAGTACAACGATTTCATCGAATAATCTACGATATAGATAGAATGCTAGAATACGTTAACACGAAATTAACTCAGCACTTCGCTCCGATTTCTTCACGACAGCCATATCTGAATACAGATATACGATAAAAGACTTTTAGTGCAAAACTTTTAGTAAAAATGGTCCTAAAAACATTTGATACACGAGTAAAATAATTGCAGTTATGTACGATTTTGCCGTATAAAATTATAAATGAACACAAGATCGATTGCACTCACAACGGCAGTATTTCGGTCTAGGTACGATTCACGGCTAGTCGGTGGCGATTACAGCGACGTATGCGAAGTTAAAGGCGCCGCGCTGTCGTCTGTGTGTGAACTGATCCTTAATATACAAATAAAATTTAATTTGAATGAACGAAACGTAGTTGAGTGGTTGTCGGTCCGGGGTATCACTTGACCTTCTGCATTATGAGGTCTATTTGCTCATCCACTCGCGGACTGGTTCCCCTGCGAACAAATTTGATCGCGATTGTCAGACGACGTGGATAAAATTCGATTCTAGACGAGGCTCTCTATTCTTGATGTCGTTAATTAACGACGGCTGAGGCGTCATTCTCACTTATGGACAGACTCGTGTGGGGAGATATCCCAGCCTCACAGAAGATCGGCGCGAAGTAGAAGCATTTCACTATCGCCGTTTCGTCTGGAAAGCGAGGTAGCCGTGGCCTACTATATTAAGTTGGCAACGCATTTCCATCCCGTCGGGTGTCGTAATGTGTTTTTACTGCGGCAGGACCACGCAACAGTATTCGCTGTTTCACGAATGGGCCACGACCTCACGGAAGACCGGCGTGAAGCAGAACTGTTACACTTGTTGCAACTGTTGCACTGCGTTTCGTCTGGTGAGTGAAGTAGCCGGGGCCAATCTGCAACCGGTGTTGCAAATGTCCGCGGGCGGCGGTTGCCACTTAACATCAGGTGAGCCGCCAGCTCGTTGGCCACCTTTTCACATTAAACCCTCGGACGAACCAGCCGTCCGCTTTCCGCGAACACACCTGTACGCGGAGGGGTCCGGGCCCACCACGGCCACCAGCTGCGGCACGTCGTTGGAGTGCTGCGAGAGGCGCGCCAGGGCGGAGCACGTGCGCCAGAGGTGCTCCTCGGCGGGCGCGGTGCTCAGCAGCTGCAGCGCCGCCATCGCCAGCTCCACGCACACCTCGTCGAACACCTGCCCGGGCGAGTGCGGCGTTCACAGAATCGGGCAGCTCTCAGTGGCGACAGAGGCCCTATCACAGCTGCCCGGAAGACGTTGACTCGGTTCCCGCATCGGCGAAAATCTCAGCCTCCATTTTTTCAGCAAACTTTAAAGACCGGAAGGCGTGGGTTCGATTCGCGCAGCGGCGAAAAACTATTCGACCATTTTCCCCACCAAATTTTAACGGCCAAAGACCTACAAAAGATGCGGCTTCGCCACAGCCATTCTCGATTGAGAAGACGAGATCTCAACAGGACCAATTCAAGCCTATTGGAAAGGGCGCACGCGGTCAAAGGCCCACTGTTAAGCGACGCCTCAATGAGAATATCGGAGCAAGGTGGCACAGAGCTAGTGGGGAAGGGGCGTCAGTGAACAATGGGCTGGTCTCAGAGGCAATAGTGACACTTGGCCAGCGATGTTCCTGTGCCGTTTGGCCAATAGTCCCTGCTATGTCCATATTGCCTGCTTTAGCCAACGGTCGAACCTTCTTACGGAGGGTACTGCGGACTAACATAGTCCTTCAGTGCCCAATTCCTAACTGACAGACCATTTCTAACTGAAAAACTGCACTTATTTAATAAATTTTTCTTTTTATTACTTTTAGAATATGCAAATTATAAGTTCGGATCGAGGAGATTACATCATATCGACAGACGACGTATATATTATAATCAGAGTTGTTAATGTATATTATGAGATTTACATAATATTATGTTTTCAGACAGTCGAAAGCTTTAAAATATCATACTAGCTGAATGATTTTGAGAAAAATAATAATTCATTAACCACAAAATTTCAAGAATAATTCTTATAGTCGAATTTCAACATTAACACAAAACCAGATGTATACATGTTAAGAACAAAATAATGAGACACTCTTATTTGCTACTAATGAATGCTTCTGTTAGTATGTTCCAATGAAAAGTAATGATGTTGATGTGGTAACATGTCGTGTACAGAAATTCGTAAGAATCCGCAGTATTTATTTAGCCTTTGCCAAATTTTTTATATCACAAACTAATTTGTGGTTGACAAACATCCTAAGGAAATAAGAATTTGTAAATGCACAGGTTTAATTAAAAGCTGTCTCATTAGTTTTTAATATACCCACGTTATATACAGGCTTGCCGATTCTGACATATTGAAAATAGGCACGCAATTTTGTCTTATTCGTACTACCTAACGTGTTTGATTTGTGATCTCCTTCATATTTTATTCGTCTAAAACTTGTTTGGGACATCACATAATAATGTATTTTTACATCTCGGTCGTATTCAAATTGGAGCACGGCTATAAATTTATGTGACAAAATTAATTTACGTAAGTGTTATTTAGTTTTGCTGATAATGGTGCTGAATTAATTGTAGGTTTTGTGATAACTATTTTAAATAATTACCATGAATACTTAAAACATCATCGTTGTGATTATAAATGAAACTACGTGAAGCCGAAATAAATACTATAAATAAATAAATACTACTGATATAATACCGAAATAGCTGAACATTGAAAATAAATCAAGTGGGACTTAAATTATTTAAGGCAGCAGTAAAACATAAACAACAAAATGCTTTTGATTAAACTATCGTAGTTCATAGTTTTCTTTCTTCTTTTAAAGCGCCGAAACTTTTGTGTTTGGATTCAATTGCCAGGTTTGATCGGAAGTTAATAATGTACTTAACTAATTACGAAAATTGAAAGGTAAACTTTTGAAGTAACAAGCTGGTGACAGATTTTAAATCTTACAAGATCATAATAGAAAATAATCAATAGCTGATTTATTTCAGATATTAAAGCAGATAACGAAGATTTTAAATTGCACGATGGCAATTTACTCATTATCTCTGAATCAATTGATACATTAATCTTATTAATTTTCTTCATGATACACGCAAAATATAAAATGTGGTAATTGTTCTTGTTGTTGTAAACGTCGTCGTCAAGGGCTCTGGACAAACCAATCTTATTATTTGATAAAGGGCCCGGTATATATTTAATTATAATGGAATATTAATCGATATAAATATTTATTTATTAAAAACTGAATGGCGGGAAACTTCAGTGACAAAATCAAAAAATATAATCAAAAGGGTTAACACTGATAAAAAAGTGACAGAACTTGAACCGCCGCCATCTTGGTTGCTAGAACAACGGCTCATTTGAATCATCAATATCGTTATCTAAAACGTTATCGGTGATTTTATAATAAATAAATATTACAACGCAGAAATCGAAGGGGCTCCCAAATCGTCAGTGACCGCGATACAGACTATAAATTGTGACTATAAACAAATCTATAAACAAACGCCTAGTGTTGTGCGTTATCAGCGAATGTAACGTTCAAACAGAATGTTTGTGTAATATTTAAGTAATTAAATTTAGACACGACTTATTGCTTTGCGCCGTTTCGGCATGTACGCACTTTGGGTAAGTTCTAGAGTTAATAAATGGCCCAAAGCCCATAGCACAAATTAAATCAAACACCGATACACTAAAACTCTTATTCAAAATTAATGAACTTCGAATATTCCTAAACAAAGACAGTAAGTCTGCGGTCTACTATACATACTTTTTCAATATAATAACATACTAGCGACCCGCCCGGCTTCTCACGGGTGCAATGTATTATACATATAAACCTTCCTCTTGAATCACTCTATCTAATAAAAACCGCATCAAGATCCGTTGCGTACTTTTAAAGATCTAAGCATAGATAGGGACAGACAGACAGCGGAACGACTTTGTTTTATACTATGTAGTAATTAACCTCAAAACAAAACCACAAGCATCGGCACATGCAAGCACCAAGATCAAGAAGTTCTTGATCTTGATCGAGAATCATTATTAAGTGACGATTATTTTAGATTACAATTTTTAATTCCCCAGTTAATTCAGTAATCATTTCCAAGTGTTCGAACAACCGAACCATTACTTTTTCAAGTTCTGAAATAAAAGACGTTTTAAAATAATCTATTAAAATAAATAAAGGCTTCACTTTAATTAAAATCTACCACTAGAGATTCTACCTGTAAAGGGCCACAAGCAAGGAACACATTCACTGATAATTCAAAAATTGGAATAACGGCGACGATTTTGATCACGAAAAAAATTAACGGCGAATCATTATCAAGAATAACGGAGCGGTTGCATTTAATCTCATACAGTAAAGATAGTGCGAGGTGATTGGGGAATTCCCCCCCTGTATTTATTGTCTAACTACACGACGTCACCGCTAACATGTTTGCGGTTAGCCTTAAACAGTCGTCACAAAGAGCGATTCAGTAAGGCCAAGGTGCCTGCATAAGCGTTTAAGTTATAACTGTTTGCGCTTCGATTAACTAACTGTTAATGAAACTGTTGTTTTAACCTTTTGTAATCTGACGATCATTTCGAAGGAAATAGAGGAGTACTGTAATTATTGTTATGATACAATTTATCTAAATGATATAAAAGGTAAATTTTACCATTGTATACATAAATGCTACTGGTTACTCCCCACCACTTTTTAAATGTCATTCATTACACGGCAAAAGTGGTCAGTCGGCCTCGTAAGAGCGTCAAACTTTTAATACTCCAGCACTGGCTGGAAACGAATACTTTCGAGCGTCAAGTTTTCTCTTGCACTTTTATATTTCTTTAAATAACTTGAAAGAGTAAAATGACCTCGGTCATTAGACGGCTCATCATCTGTTCCTTCTAATATATACGATACTAGCGGCCCGCCCCAGCTTCGCACGCGTGCAATACTGAATGTTTGTTTTCGACATCGCATTAGAAACCTTTAAAACTATCAGTGTTTCTCTACTATATTATGCATAAACTACACATAAATCTTCCTCTTGAATCAATCTATCTATTAAAGAAAACCGCATCGAAACCCGTTGCGTAGTTTTAAAGATCTAAGCATATATAGGGACAGATTGTTTTATACTATGTAGTGATAGCGATAACATCCGTGAGACAACACAGCACGAAACCACTTCTCACTGTTGCCACTTGCCAGTCCGTGTCCCGTTTTAGTCGCCTTCTCCGACAGGGGATAGCTTAGCCCTATTCTATGAGCACCAGACTACAGGGCCAGTATTTAACGCCATCTCAACGAAATTTTAACCGCGGTAGGGACACGCAATAGGCTCGACTGTTGCACGAATGGGCCGGTCCGTCCGGGGAAATGCCACGACCTCACAGAAGACCGACGTAAGTGGAAGTGTACACTTTTGTATTTCTTCTGGTAAGTGACGTAGCCGGGGCACACTTAACTATAAGGTGGCAACGCATCTGCAAATCTACGGGTGTTGCAAATGTCCATGGGCAGTGGTTCACTTAACATCATGTGAACCACCAGCTCGCTTGCCACGTTCTCGCATAAAAAAAGGTGCGCGAAAGTACGACGAAAGGCTTACTGTTTGTTACTAAGGAAGTTTATACAGTTGGAAAAATACACGAAACAAATACAAATATTCTCGTAAGCCGCATCCGGAGTTCATAAGATCTTTTATTACAAATGTTGACAATTCATTTACCATGTTATCAGCAAACAAATGATTACTATAATTAAATATGTGTGTCGGAAAATGAAAGCGTTGCGAAAATCTCTAACCTCACTGCATACACTGAATTATTGGATCGGTTATTGATAACATACTAGATACTTCGGTTGCAGGAGTGTGTGTTAATGACGAAGACATGCAAACGGGTGAATTTGTCAGATTCGAAATACGAAGTAGTTACTCCGGCGAGATGAACTTTAACCGAATGGGGAGGCTTAGCATCGTGAGAATTAGAATGGCGTCTGATGATATGACTGTGGGTTTGGATCGGTTACTGATAATATTACTTCGGTTGCGGGAGTGTTTTGTTAATGACGACGACATGCAAACGGGTGAATTTGTCAGATTCGAAATACGAAGTAGTTACTCCGGCGAGATGAACTTTAACCGAATGGGGAGGCTTAGCATCGTGAGAATCAGAAT